AAGAGAACTTCTTTTCACATCGTTTTTCTCAAAGACTCGACTCGATCTCTTTTCCCGTCGCTGCTTTGAGAATAAAATGTGTCCTAAACGAAATTCTCCATGAAGAGTGGCGTTCGAGTAACGATTACGAATAGTCGATCACGTGGATTGTATCTAGAAAAAGATTTTTGAGTTCAATTTGTATTCAATATTAATTAGATCATTGCAACTCAAATTATAACTTAATTTTTGAAATCATTTTCTTCTTTGAAGGATAGTTTGTTAAAATTCAGCAAGTTTAATTGGCTAATTCAATGCTAATTTTGGAAGGTTTATGCAAATTTCAAATGTATTTTGCTTTTAGATATCCGCATTTACCGTAGAAACAAAGTCTCTCGCAGGCAAAGACGAGTCCAGCCGAGTCGACGGAGATTTGCATGGAGTGAATCGGATGTGGCGAGTGGGCATTGAGGTGAGAATTTTTTGAGGAGATTGGATCTCATCATCCACCTCATTCACATCAATTTCTTCATTCAATGATGGCCAGCTAAAGAAAATTCGGATTCAATTCAATTCAATTCGATTCAATGTTGAAAAAGCTACGACAAAAAGTCCATTAACTTTTTCTATATCAGTTAATTTCTGCCAGCTCTTCAATCACTTTAGTCAAATCTCAAAACCTCTTAGACATAGATTTACATTTAATTCATGATTAAGCTACTCAAAAAGCTAACTATTAGGTTTTAAAAGTGAACAAAACTAGTCACTAGATCTTTTAGTAGACATCAAAAGTTAAAATCGATGAACTTAGATGAAAAGACAGCTATGTACTAGTTTTAAATCAATATTTTGAGCTATAAGTTTCTAAAAAATTTCATTCTAATAGGCACTCACACAAAAATCGGTTGTCCCGGATGTTTTTACGGGGGTCGAGCATAGGGAATCTAGTGAATGGCGGTCGGATGCGGGACAAGACAACCATGACGAACTGGGGATTGATGGACGGACGAAATATGGATCAAGAGGATTTGAATTTGTTTGGGAGATTGATAGGAGATTGATAAGAAGATCAGAGAAACGAACAGAATCCGGCTCAGTGAGCCCATCGAGGCCGACCTCGGCACGGGCGGGGAGGGGTCAGCGTTTCTGAAACAGAGTTAGATTTGAAAAGCTGAAAGGTTGAAAGGCAAGTAGCAAAGCTAGTGGTAAAAGAAGATTCTAGCAGCTGAGTATAGGATTTTGGTCAGATTTGGCTCCAGGAGAAGCGATCACTTTAGGAAACTAAATGGCAAATGGTAAACAAATGGTAGAGTCATTTGTTGACCTCAAAAAAATAAACAATCGAATCAGATTCTCAAGAGATGGATCTCAAGGATGGGGTGAAACCCTGGATAGAATAGGAAAGAGATGGGATGGAAAGAAAGGGGAGGGTCAAGTTAGATCTGGGGGGATAAGCGGAAATAGGAGCCTGTAGCCAGCCTAGCACTCTGCCCAACCCATTAGAAAGGACCCCTTCCTTTTTCATCACAATGCCCACTCAAGCCTTGGCAGAAGAGAGAGTAGTTTTCTTCACCTTTCACCCCTTTCCATTCTAATCCCATTCATGATCCGGCTTGTCTTTTCCAGCCAGAATTGGTTCAATTCAATCCAGTCTCTCGATTTGACGAGTTTCATGAAATTTACATCAAAAAGACAAGAAAAAGTCGTTTAGTGATCGTTTATTTTTAAGAATTTAGATTCGGAACACATCTCTGCCCCTCAATCTCCTCATCACAATGCCCACTCTTTTCTCGAGAGAGTAGCACCTTTCATCCATTCTTCCTCTTACCCTCAAATCCTATCCATAGCCTGGCTACTTCTCCCTCCCCGAACAACACTGACCAGGTGGACGCGACTTGCATGCCATCCTCTCCCTTTTCTTTTCTTTTCTATACAAAGCTCCCTAATTAAAGAAGGCGGAAATTGGGAGGGATTTGCCGAAATATAAGTGCAAATGTTTAGATCTGTCCTATTAGGCTATCAAATTTGAATCAATATTTAAACTAAACATTAGCAATATAGATATAGTAATCAAAAGCAATAGAAGCTAGAAGAGTTTTAATTTACTTACAAGAGAATATCAACTAGATTTGATGGCCAAATGACATGTGTCATCGGTTATTCGACGCAGAATTCAACGCCGATTTTTGAAACTGCTTTCCATGAAGCACTCTGTCAAAAGTTAAATGCATGCTAGTTTTGTATGGGATTTGCAAAGTCACACCCCTGAGTTTATAAGCAAATTTCCCAGAAGCTTTTGGAAGCGGTGGTAGCCGAGCGGCGCGGGGTTCAGAATAAAAGCAAAAGACGCTGTTCGAGTTCGTGTTCGAGTTCGCCGTTCATTGTCCACAAGTGGCACACATTGTCCACCACACCCAGTTGACATTCCCTTGTCAGCAAACTTTTCAGAATTCATTTGGCGGTGGTGGCCGAGTATACTGTATCAGATAACGATTATCAAAATAACTAAAAAAAAGATACGAGAGTTGTAAGATGTAAATTAAATTTTCAAGTTCTAATTGAAATCGTTTGATGCAAAATAAGGAAATTAGATATGTTTAGATATATATCAATAGATAAATAACATGTTTATGTAACATGTGTTATTGTTCTGTTGTTCTGAAAGGATTCAAAAATGATCTGAAATCGTTTTTGGATAAAAAGATGTCAAATTGATCTCATAACAACAATGATTCAGAGATGGAAGAGAAAGGATCGGTTATATTATAAAATTTCCACATTGATCAGTAGATATTGCGGTACAAGTTTTCCCAAAATCGAGTCCTACTCGTGAACATCAGCGGCTAGGTGAAGGGGTCGTCTGGCTACTTAACCAATGCAGCCATTGTTGGTCCAAGAATATCCTAAAATAGCTTGGTTTTGGATGACGGTAGAAATATAGGTTTGAATAGCTAGATTTGATCATTATGTTCCTTCGTAAATATGGATAGATTTGACTCTTCCTTAAATTCCTGGCTATTTCAAAAAAATTGCAAAAGATCTCGACCACGGGAAGGATTCGAACCTTCAATCTTCTGCTCCGTAGGCAGACGCGTTGTCCACAGCGCCACGCGGCCATGTGGCGGCGGGGCGAGTGATGGACTTTTGTGCTGACATGGCACAAAAAATTCGTTAATCTGGGCTAAGCGAAATAGCTCTTTGAGAGTTATTAAAGTTAACTTTTGATTTGAATGAAAAACTTTGAATAAAGGATGGAGAAATAAAACTCTCATCGTTCCATCATCTAGGCTTAGCTTTATTTTGGTGGTTTTCAGGGTGTAGAATTTGTTCCTAAAAACGAAAAATACAGCTACTTCTGTTCAAAAATCAATGCCAGAGATTTTGGCGTAAATGATTCGGCTTTTTACCTTCACCTTCAAACTTAAACCCTTTTGAGCTTTTCCCAGGTATTCTCTTCACTAGGGTGCAATTTTTAAAGTTCGAACACTTCAAGACCTTTATCACAATTAAAAATTCTAAATAAAACGAAAAAGAAAAACAACATTGAAACAAACCCATTTCGATTGCTATATAGAAAAAAAATGGGAAAATAGAGAAATTTTCATGGAAAAAATATAGAATCTTGATCAGAAAATGGCTTTTTTTTTTTTACGAAATAACAAAAAACGATCACAATTGTTGATCACATAGAAGAAAGTTCAATCTAAAAAAAAATGGGATTATTCATGAAGCTTACAAAGTACGCAAAATCGGATTGTAAGTTTTATGAAGTACAAAATAGTAAACTATAGTAAGCTATAGTACGCTACCGTACCAAAATCGCACTAAAAATCAATTAATAACTCGGGAGTGGGACAAATGTTCCTGCGCACCCGGACATTGCGCACCTTTTTCCGCACCTGCCCATTAGCACACCTTTTTTCATGTTTTAAAAAAGCTCTTAAAAGCTAATATTAACTAATTTCTATTCCAAAAGTTGTTTCTTTCTAGGTCATTTTAGGGCGTAGAATCGAAATTTTGGCATATCAGAGCTTGTGGAACCAATTGAAATGAAAGACAAAACGGCTAGATCAAATTACAGAAAATTCAGGATTTTTCTCTTTGTAGTAACTCCGTCCGTTCGCTTCCACAAGCTCTGATATGTCAAAAATTTCGATTCTACGCCCTAAAATTACTCTAGAAAAATAACATTTGGAATAGAAATTTGTTAATATTAAAAAGCTTTTTAAAACGCGAAAAAGGTGCGCCAATGGGCTAAGTGCAGAAAAAAAGGTGCGCAAATGTCCGGGTGCGCAAAAAAGTTAAGTCGCATTTGTCCCACTCCCAATAACTGTAAATTTTTCAATCTAGTATTTTATTTATTAAAGTTGAAAATTCTGATCTTGAAAAAATTTAGAGAAAAGAAAGAGAGGGGAATGGAGCCTCAATAAAGAAAGTTCAATAAAGAAAGTTCAATAAAATACAATAAATCTTTTGATTATGTTGAATAGAAAATATGTGCAGTAAGATAAAATTAAATTCTAGACTTATTTACAGTGCTTAGATCTTAAGAATTGGAAAGAAGCTTGTAAACAATCAGCATCTGGCACACGGGTAAATCAATAGTAAAACCATTTTGTTAACGCTAGCTTTTGGTGACAGTCATTACAAATTCATTCGGCTCTAGGCAAACTCAAGCTGTAGACTGGCTAATAGTTTTTAAAGTGGTGTTACAGCTACAGTACAATAGTTACAGCTACAGTACAATAGCTACAGCTACAGCAGACAATAGCTGGCCAGTTACTGTAACCTTCTTCACTTAGATTACGGTAGCTCAGCATTTTAAAGGTCTTTTTATTGATTTTATTCAATCTTAGATTAATTATAGCAAGAAAAATCAAGCATTTAATATTTGGGGGGTTGCTTTTTGTTTCGATGTAGTCCAATTCGATCTCGCACACGCAATTCCTCATTTTTCTGGAAGCAGCGAGACTGTGAGAAAAATTGGGGATTCTGTGTATGCCAGTGATCGATTTAGTTTACATCGAAGCGCAAAGAACGACTGACGATTTCCATGTCGACTTTGTAAAACTACCAAAAATCAGTGCCCCAACCCGCCTGAGGTTACAAACTTTTCAGCAAAATTCTCATACAATAGATCTACGCGCGAAAATGTAAAAATTAACCTTAAACTTTAAAATCATTCACCTATACTGTAGTTTGAACATCTTTCGACTCTTCATCATTATCATCTTTCGTTTCAACTGGGTTGGAATCGGTTGATGAGTGGTGCACGGATAGGGGAATATACTGAAAATCATTTCATATAAATATCTAGCTTTATATATAAATTTCTTTTTCTTGTCAATCTAAAGAAAGTTTGAAAAGTGAAAAAAAGAAGAAATTTGGTGCTCAGACTCACGAATCTTGCTGGATAGGCTTAAGAGAACTGAATATAAAAATATCATTTATTCTCGACACGAATAATGAATTGCAACACAAAGGAGGGAATTTTACTTTGCACTACCTCCCTATTACCCAAATGTTGTGCAGAAAAAAACTGATAATACCGTATTTTCTCTAATAGTTTTTCCCGGCGAGCCGAGTTGGTGACTATTTCAACGGTTTCCAAGCTTTTGCAGCTCAACACTCTAATTCCCCACTAGATCTAATCGTCAGCTACATTTTCCGACCCCACATCGATAGGTTCTGGTAAGCGGTTCTCGAGATTGGGGAGGAATTTAGGCGACGCTCAGGGTGCAATACTAATAGAAAAATACTTGTAATGGGAAAAGGAATCAATCTTTCTAGCCGCCGGTGATCGAACCCTAGGAAGGATAGCCTAGAAGCCTAAGGATAACCTGGAAGCCTACGAATAGCCTGAAAGTCTAGAATAAGTCTGGCAATCAGGCTCTGCTCTGACTGGGCCAAGTACTGGGCCGAGTACGGGACTAAGTTTGAGTAACAATTGTAGCCGCTCCAGATCAAAAGAAAACAACTCATAATAATGGGAAAAAACCAATCTTTCTAGCCGCCGGGATCGAACCCTTAACCCCTGGATTCAGACTTGTGTTTCGGTTGGCTCTTTTCGGTTCGGTTTCGGTTGCGGTTTGGTTCGGTTCGGTTCAACCGAAAAAATGATTTCTTTATAGCTTTTAAAACACACTTTTCAAGGGATTTTAAGTTCAAAAGTTTTCTTAGCTGATTTTAAAATCATAGAATCAAAAATTTAGCAAATATACCTGTATCCAAAGACGGCTCCAATCACCATGATCGCTCCCAAAACGAAAAGATATGTGGGATGGAAGCTGAACAACCAATACGCCAGCACACAGTTCAACACGATGGCGAATGAGGTATGGCCTGGAAATCGATGATAGGGTTTGTCTTGTTTCTTTTAAGCAAAATAATTCCATTTTCGGCTGACTTGACATTGTCTTTGAGGTCATATTTTAGTACTAGAATTAATAGATTTGTTTTTAGCGTTGGCTAAAGCCCCAGGTCAGTCGTCTAACCTGATCATCCTAGTCGGGCACACTTTGACTGCAATCGGATACGTGTTGATGTAAGCCTTCATTGTTAGAGCGTTAGCCCGGTTCCCTGCGGATCGCAGGTTCGAATCTCGTCTATCCCCGTTTAGCCTCGAGATCTTTCCTTTTATCGTCTAGTCAATCGACACTCCTCAATAGATGCCAATGGCAAGTGCCGGATCACTTCTGCAGTTCTCAAGGTAGAACAGTGTCATTTTGATTTATTGACCGATTCAGTTTAACTTTCTGGTTATCTTATTTCGGATTATTATTGTCAGTAAGTTTTTTTTAGAATCCAGATCATTGAATGTTTCGGGCGGGAAGTGATGTTGATTTGGTTTTTGCCGAGAATGATCAATTGATCGAGGCTGAGGAACAAGGTAAAGTTGTCTTTTAAACAAGGTAAATCTTTTAAATCAAAAAATTCGATTTTGCCTAATTGAACTTTTTTTAGATTTACAAATTCTAGAGTCAGCTTTGGTAGTTCAAGCAGTCTTGCGTCGACAGTTTTCCAGCGAAAGACAAAGAGATAACAATGGATGATATTGAATCAATGGATGAAATGCCAGAGATCGATTGTCGAGATTATAATGAAAGGGTGTGTTTGAAAGAAAAGATTTAAACGAGTTTTAACAAGATTTTACAGTAGTTTGGTTAGTATTAGAAATCTGAAAATTTCCTGAACTGATTCCTCGAGCCTTCCATCCGATTTCTTTGCTAATTTTGTCCACAAGCTAACAAATGGCAATTACAAACTAACAATGGCAATTGTATTCCAAAACAATTCGTCAAGAAACAAAGATGGAAATTGGTTCAAATTCTAATTTTAAGTCTAATCATCGCAAGAATGGAGTGACACTTTCTAGAACGACTGTAACGACTTGTTTTGTATTGTAACTGGTCTGCTCTGTACTATTCTATTGCTTTAGGTATTTTAATGCATGTGAATTGGATCTATAAAACTGTTGTAAGAATTGATCACAATATCGAAATTCCTTTTCAGATGCCGATCCTCATCCCATCCACTCCACCGCCTTATCCTCTCGCAAACTTTCGACTCTACGAACGAATTTCGGGAACATCTCTCAGACTTTGTGAATGGAAATTCTTTCGTTGTCTCTTGATCATTTTATTTTTCATCGCTCTCATCTTCTATTTTTCCTACCATTTATCGAAAGATCTCTTCAAAAACTGTACTTCCAAACTCTTGAATTTCATTTTTTCAACTTTATTCAAAATGAAAGAAATAAATTTGTAATGCTAAAGCCATCGATTGTAGCAGTTTGGCACTCAGAAAGCCCGTCAATGTCCCGTCAATAACTCTACAAAGAAGAATTATGTGCGCTAGAGAGATTACGCTTAGACACCAAAGCACAAAGTGCACGAATAAAGCTCTAGATCTATCTATGAATCTATTAATTCATCACATTTTTCAGAGACAACTGTAATTCATATACTTCAATGGTAATCCTCGTGATTCTTTTACAAAATATAAATCAGAGAGTTTTTCTAGTGCACTCATTCCTTCAGTTTCTCATAGAAACGCTTTGATGTCACAAGAAAATGATGAATTGAGTGCACGAGAAAGGATGTATTTCTCTGTCTCACTGAAACTAAACATAAACTTTGAACCCAAATGGTACTAAAAATCAAAACTATTCCCCGATCAATCCATTTACCATTGATTCAAGCTTAATTGATCACTTGCTATTAGCATTTGTCTCACCTATTTCAAAAGAAAAAAGGCAAGTAGTCCAAAATCTATCTGTTTTTATTTATTAAATCTTTTATCTAAAACTTTATCAATCATATTCTCTTCTTTCACCTACAATGATCTCTTTCACTTGTTTGAATGAAGAACAAGAAGATGTTGAAGTGAAATGTCGCTGAAATGTGGAATGCTGGAATGTCTTGAAGCTGAAATGTCGAAGAAAGCCGCCAATCAAGGGAAAAGTGGTGAGCTAAGAAAGTGTTAAGAATTCTTTGAGGGTTTCATAGAAATTCTAAGAGAATTTGTAAGAACAACAAAGCAAGAGATTAGACTTAAACCACTTGCATAAAGATCATCAATAGATATAGATTTACAATCAAAATCTTCCACCAAAAACAGTATTTTTGTGCTAAAAGATAACATTGTTGTAAGCTAGTAATGAGCTAGAAAAAGATGTGTTTAGTTTTTTGAGTACAAAGAACACTCCTAAAGCTTTTTCTAAAGCTCAAACGGCCAGGGAGTTGCTCTAAAAAGATTTTTCTGAGCCAAAAATCAAGTCTGACTTTTGGCTTTTATTTTTGCTTTGTTTTGCCCAGACAAAAGCTCCTTTCTGTTCAACAAAAGACACCATTCTAGCATCATCACTTTCAAAAGTTCTTAAACGAAGTCAATCTACAATTTTAGCCTCAATCACCTCGAAATCCACGAGCTCTTTCTGACGATTTAAACAAGGTCAACTTCGAGGATCGAGATTTCGGGGATTACGTGGATATCGATGATCGTTTGCCTATCTATCGCTCCAGAAACGCTCTCCCCTTACTCCACCAGTGCAACAAGTCCAATCAAAATTCGCTCAATGTCAAGATTTGAGTGAGTGCTTTCCTCCTCTCCTCATCCCCACTTTGCTTTTCATTTTACTCTTCAGCTTGGCCTACTATTTTTGCTGGGAACTTTCTTGGGTTTCTTGACTGAGTTTCTAAGGTTTCTTAAGCCATGTATTCCCTATATAGAATTTCGATATTTAGATAAGCTTTTCTTATGTATTTTATAGTATTAAGCCTTTTTACATTTCAGATCTCTCTGAAGCTCTAACAATACCCATTTAAAGTCTATCCCTTGTCGAATTTTTCCTCTTATCATGTACTTTCAATATTCTAATATTTTTCTATATTTTGGTATTACTAAATCGTATATATTCAATACCCACCTTTAAAATATTATCCGCATATTTGATGACCACGGCAACGACTACAAACCGCCGAAAGCGCTAATCCCAACTGTCACCCAAACAGCCCAATCAAAACCGGACATCATCCTGAAAAAGGAACAATGAATGACACTTGAAAGACTCAAATTTACTTTGGCAATAACATTATAAGAGTATTAGAGTCTTGCCTCATGGGTTTATTGGTTACCGTACTTTTCTCTTTTCCTAGTGCACTCTGGCGAGCCGAGTTGATGACCATTTTACGGTTTCCAAAGCTTTTGGCAGTCGCTCAAAACTCTAATTCCCCACTAGGATGGCATCGTCAGCTACATTTTCTGACCCCACATCGATAGGTTCCTGGATAAGCAGTTCTCGGGATTCCGATCAATTTAGACAAAGCTCAGGGTGCACTACTATTAGAGAAAATACGAGTTCTAGTAATTTCAAAGTGTAAGCTTTAAATCCTTAATCGTAATGATTATCTATAAATTTTGATTGTTTAGTTTTAGCACTATTTTTCAAATCTGATAATCTAAAGTTATCCATTTGGTTGTAGGCTTTGAGAATCTAGCTTTACATTTTGTTTACACTTTGAGCTCCAATAAAAACGGAGATTCTCGTCGACACTACGATTACTTTTTTTAAAAAAGTTCAAAACAAAACTAAAGTAGAATTTGTAAAATGACTGGAGATACAATTCTTTGAATAATCTTTTCAATGACTAGTTTTATTTTGATTGATTGATGATTTCAAACCTTGTTCCACTGGCTGCCGGTGAGAGGAAGCTGTCAGCAAACAGCACCTCTTTGTCTTTTCACCTGGGGAATTTTAGTTATTTTAGCGTTTCTAAATTTTTTAAAAATGATCTTAGCACTTGAAACTTTAGTATTTTTTAATATTATAGCTAATTTTTAACAACTCGATCTCACTGAAGCGAAGAGGAGCGCAAAAAAGAGCGATGGAAAGGCGAGAGCTGAATGTTTCGGGATCCAAATCGGGAACGTTTGAGCCTAGGGAATAAGGGAAGTTTAATAAAAATAAATGATAATACATAGATAATCGATTCATTAGATCTACTAGATAGTAGTTTTCTATTTTTAATTGAAAATAATACCTTTCAAAATTTTTTCAAAGTAGATCCCGGCGAAACCGGAGAGGAAACACGCGACGAGGACTGGTTGTCAAGCTCGAAAGAGAAAGAAACAATTATATTATAAATTTTCATATTAAAATTCACATATTAATCGCTATAGATATTGCTATGTTTACAATTTTTACCCCAAAATCGAATTTTTGCTCGTGAATTATGAGCGGGGTGGCGGTGAAGGAGTGGCCTGACGCTCGACTCGAACAAATGGAGCCAGCGTTGTTCCAAGAATATCCTAAAAGACCTTGATTTGAATGGCTTTAGAATAATATAGATTTGACTAGATAGATGACTAGAAATATAGATAGATTTGACTCTTCCTTAAATTCCTGGTCATTTCCGAAAATTGCAAAAATCTCGGATCACTTAGCGATCTGAACCTTCAATCTTCTGCCTGTGGGCAGACGCGTTATCCATTGCGCCACGCGGCCTTGTGGAGAGGCGGCGAGTGGAGGGGTTATGTGCTGCAAAAGGCAGAAAAACGTGGCCAGGAAAAGAGTGGGAAAAGGGTGAAAAAGAGCGAAAAGATAGCACGTGTGGAACAATTTTCCATTTTCTCATTTTTATTATTTCTATCTCTTACCAGCTTTTCTTTGACTCTTTCTTCAACTCCAGTCAAATTCTTGTTACACCGGAGCTATTGTTGTCGTCTGATTGGCATTGAAAGCAGCTCGATTCGCTTTTTTCAGCATCATCGGAGAGTTTTGGTCCTAAACAGTTGTTGTTGTTGTTAATCGAATCTCTTTTATAACTCGATTTAGAATCTATTTTCAAAACTTTTACATACGGAACAATGACAACTCCACCAAAAAGGACAACAAGCGCCAGCCATTGTTGCCAAGAAAGTTTCCGTT